GACCCCTACTAGGCTGCCTATTTTAGGCAGTTGGTGGCTGAGCTTCTAGGCCCGACTCACAGACCTCCCACTGTTGACACAAGCAAAGGCAAAACACATAGCCACGGAACCTTCTAAAGGCCACGGCATCAGAAGTCTGTATGTCCCGAACAAGGGCAGACAGCTGCTTCCTGCTGGCATGGCCATTTCAAGAGCTGGGACTCAAGGTGCATTGTCATGACTGTGGGGAAGGCCCCCCCAGAGGGCACTGCTGACTCATAAAGGTCCCTGGGGCTGTAGCTCTGGTCCATGGCAAGAGGAGGAGCCCTCGATGGGGTCTGGCCAGGCTCTGCGGCTAAGCTGTCTTGGGGCCTTGGATGAATCTCTGCCTAACCTGGGTGGGCTGCTTCACCTAGAAAATGAGGGGAAATGGGCACCAGTAATCTCTAAGACCTCTTTCAGCAATCCGTTCCATCAAATTCTAGGCGCTGGACAAAGATTTGAAAAGGAATCTGTTAGAACAGTGATCTTCGGATCAGAAGCTTTTGTGTTTCAGCAGGCTAGGTTTTCTCCTCCTCCCAGAGAGACTGGTCGTGTGGACAGTGTGTGTTCAGTAGCTAGCTGGAAGGTTCAAACCCCACCACTCCTGCCCCCAATGGGCAGAAGCTCTGTGGAAGAAAAGCCTGGCGCGTGCTTCCAGAGAGATCCCAGCCAAGAGAACCACACGGAGCAGCTCCACGCTCTAACACACAGGTCAGGATGGGGCAGAAATATCAGCTGGAGGGTCTGGGGTTCATTGATTTGCTTTTCTAGAGACTGAAAGAGCTTCTTGAGGTTTAAGTCTTGCCTTCTCTCTCTTATGCTCCTCAGGGCTTGGCCCGAGGCAGCAGGCAGGCGCAGGGCCGGACTCCAGAGTAATATTTTTTTAAGAAACAGTTGCTGACCAGGCGATTCTGATTCATAGCAATCCGTTGTGTGCCGGAGCAGAACTGTGCTCTGTAAGGGTTTAAAAGGTTATTTGTGTTTGTTTTTTTGTACGTGGGTCATCGAGCCTTTCTGGAAAGGTGCCGCTAGATGGACTCAATTTCCAGCCGCTCGGTTAGCAACTGAGGGAATTAACCTTCTGCACGACCCAGGGACTCCACAGCAAAAGGAAAGATGGCATTACTCTTTTGACTGCATCAACCTATTTCTTTCCTAACCCCACTGAGGGCAGAGGCAGAAGAAGAATATGAACACATTAAAATAAGAACGATGCACATTATTAGATCATGGGACAAAATAAGTATTAGACAATTAGTGCCTGGAGCCAGTTGAGATCTGGGAGTCATCTTTTCCTCCTCATTTTCCTAGAAAAGGTACAGGAAGTCCACAAAGGATCTGAAGAAAAACCTGAACAAGACTTTCAGCATCCCCTTGAGAGTCAGGGGCCTTTCCTGCTTAATCATTGTCATTGTAATGTCAGAATATCTTCCAGGGCGTCATTAAGATGGGAGAGGCAAGGAAGCTGGGAGATTGGGCAGGTAAGGGCCTGCCCTCAGACCTTCTGAAACCAGTCTCACATTGCAAATAGAATCTGTCTCGACAGTGGAGTCTGGGCGAACATTTTAAATAAGACTGGGGCAGGCGCTGCACCTTGGGCAATCATTCTGGAAGCTAGCTGGTGTCTGCTGTTGGCTGTCCAGCGAGGCAGGGGTCACCCTGCACGGGAACTTGGAAGAAGGCCGAAATGGCTTGCTCCTCCTGTAGTCGCAGATTCATGGTTGGACTCTGCTCCAAAGGAAAGGACCACATTCTCTCCTCTACCTAAAGGCACATCATCAGGGCTGAGGAACAGCTGGTAGCAAGCTCCTCTCTTTCCCCAGGTTGTGAAAATTGCAAGAGCTGTACACACGTGGCTGGAAAACAAGTGGGAATAGTTGTCCATTTTGCTCTACATTTCTCCCTCATTCAGAAATGCTCCTCACTTCCTGGGAGCCCAAATACACCTTCTGTTGAATGTATTTTTGAGAGCAAAGCTGGTCTTATGCAGGCAGTTCTAATGGAGGCTCTGTATGTGTGTGTCTGCGCCCGTGCAGGTTGGGAGTGCAGGTAGAGAGAGCTGGGTGGGTTTCTGAGGGGCATGGACATCAAATGATTTTGCTTTTGCTGGCTTCTCACTGTGTCAGATGCTCTGTCCACCTTTCATGATTGGCATTGCTCTCTCCCTCTGGTTCCCCTAGGAAATCCAGCCTATCTCTCAGGAGACACCAGCGACATCACATGGTGCTGTCTGTCAACAAGATGACAATCATAGACTGGTTTCAAGGTACTTGTAGAGCCCCACTTCAGAAAGACAAAGGTGTTAAAAGCTGAGGATCAGTTCTCAGAGTCTTCTAACGCAGGGATGCTAAATATGTGAACCACACAGTGCACTGAGCCCTGGTGATGCAGTAGTTGATGTTCTTGGCTGCTAACCAAAAGGTCAGTGGTTTAAACCCACAAGCCATTAGAAGGAAAAGCCATGTGGCAGTCTGCTTCTGTAAAGATTGACAGGCGTGGACACCCAAGAAACTGCTCCCCTTTGTCCTAAGGGACTCTCTGACATCAGATTACCTATACCACCGCCTCATCCTGCCTTCAATCCGACATCACTAATTGAATATTTATCGTGTCTGTGTTTACATCCTCCACGCTCCCTGTTGTATTTGGATTTAACCTTAGAATTTTGGCATCCTTCTTCTTTAACTCTCCTGAAGTGCAAACAGAACTGCTGGCTGCGATATTCAGTCACTGGACAGTGCAAGTGGTTAATGAGCTCAGGTCCTCACCGAAAACTTGGGGTTTGCAAACCTCAGGGGACTACATCTCTACTCTGACATGCCTGGGGTTGTCATGAGTCCAGTGTCAGTCAATGTTAAGTGATTGGATCATAAGTGTTGAGAAACTTTCAGAAGCTCCCCACACATTAAAACGACAAACAAACAAGCACATACTAAGCCAAATAACCCCCAAAACCCATTGTCACCGTGTTGGTTCTTACACATAAGTTTTCCAAGACTGTCAAATCTTTAAGGGAGCAGACAGGCTGCTGGGTTTGAATCACCTTGAGGTCAGCAGCCCAACACTAAACCAAACTTCCTGTCATCGGGTCAATTCGGACTCACCCTGACCCAGCAGGCTTCAGTAGAACTGCCCATGTGGATTTCCAAAGGGGTCAATCTTGCTAGGAGGAGAAAGCTGCATCTTTCCCCTGTGCAGTAGCTGATGGACTTAAACTGCTGACCTGGTGGTCAGCAGCCCAACCCGTAGTCCACTACGCCACCAGAGTGTGTGCCCTCATCGGGGTGCACAGAAAGCAAAGCTAAGGACGAATTCCAGGGAAATCAGAGGATCTCGAGGCGACTGATCCAATCATGTAGCGACCTCTCTGCACTTTTCAGGTTACCTTTCTGAACATACAGAGTCACCGGCTTTTCTGTTTGAGCATATCCTTCGACAAAATCCAGAGGAAAGCTTTTGATGCCGTAGCATTCCCTCCCATCAATGTCTCCATTAGCTTCCATGTATACAGAAAGCCTCAGACACAAGGCAGTGGTTGT